CTCTCATTCTCTCTCTCTCAAATAAATAAAAAAATCTTTAAAAAAAAAAAAAAAAAAAGGATCAAGGGTATAGTCAATCCCATCAGAACCCCCAGCCCTAAAAAACCACAAATCCCCTTTACCTATAGATGTCTTCTCTGGGCATTTCATAGAAATGGAGTCATATCAACATGTAGTCTTCAGCACTGGACTTGTTTTAATTAGCATAAGGGTTTAGAGGCTCATGTATACTGCAGTGTGTATGACCTCATTTCTCTTTATTGCCTAATGGTATCTTTTGTTGGGATATCCTGCATTGTATATCCATTTATCAGTTAATGGACATCTAGGTTATTTCTACTTTTCGGCTATTATAAATAATGCTGCTAGGAACACCCACATACATTTGTACTGACAAATATTTTCAGTTCTCTTGGGTAAATACCTAGGATTGAAACAGTTTACATGGAAAATTTATAACTTTTTGAGAAACTTTTCAATAAATAGCCAAAGTGGCTATTGTTTTAAATTCCAGCAGTAATGTATGAGGGATTTGGTTTTTTCACACTCTAACACTCACCAGAGCTCAAGAACCCCACCACTACCCTCTCTGGCCTTTCACTGACCACACGTGTGTCCCAGAATGTTGGACAGGAGAGAGGAAGAAGCTAAGTGAATGGAGAAGTAAGGGAGACAGAGATCCTTACACTTTTTCAAAAACAACCACATCGATTCCAACTGATGAACCTATATTGACCCATCAGGGCCCTCTGAGGTCCACAGTTTACATTATGATTCACTCTTGGTTTGTAGGTTCTATGAATCTGGACAATAATAAAATGGCATGTATTCACTATTATATGTGATGATGATGATCCTAAATCCTGCAGTTATATGGTAATATTAACAACTATATTGCAATAGCAAGCAAACCAATGTGATAAAATGGGAAGAACTATCCTTAATAGAAGAATTATGTTAGCAATATTTAATGGGCAATCTATAATAGCAGGTTTATTTACTGTATATTGAAGTTAGAAATATTTTTCATGTTCCTTTAAATTTCTTTTAAAATAACCAAATACTTGTTAAAGCAAATCCTTGTCAAATATTAAATACTGTATTTATAAATTTTTACCAAAAATCAAATTTTACCTCTAATTATATTTTCTACCATAAGAGGATATACAGTGAAAGTAACTTAAGAAAATACTCTTATCAGTTCAAGGCTATCCTTGCTTGTTGGCAAAAGTGGTTAATCACAAGACCTAAGGACACTGAAAGTGACCAGAAAAAAATACAGGACAAATCCCTCAACAGATGACTTTTTTTCTTTGTTTGCTTATGAAAGACATTCATAGTTCATAAGGGATTTAAAACTCCATGGAATTTTATATACAGCCAAACAAGAGGATGTGCGGTATTGTACTTGGAAAATAATGAACAGAATATAAGAGTACTACAATTGTTATAAAGCCAAACCAAGTAGACTATTTTTATAAACAGCTTTTCTAACAAAAATATACGTAACTATATTCCATGTGTAATCCCACTGTAATAATGTATCTCCTCTCAAAAAAAAAAAAAAAAAGGTTGGCTGACATTTTCTAGACAACAACAAAGTAATACAGACTATAAAAATATCGAGCATATGTACAGCTTTGTCATCAGGAAAATGTTAAACAGAATTATTGAGAACTTTACAAGGAGAAATCAAAGAGACTGAACATATAAAAATAATAAAACATGACATTAAAATGTCATCGAGGAAACCTCTAAAATCATTACCTGGAACCAGTTCCATAATGATGTAGATAGGCTGTCTTTGTGTGCAAACGCCTATAAGTTTGACAATATTGGGATGATCGTATTGCTTGAGAATTCTGAATGAGAGGAAAGTGTAAAAATAGTTACCATTTAAATACTAAAACATTAAATCATGAATAGTGTGCCCAAGTAGAATATACTTTACTTGACATAATTCTCTTTTTTAAAACTTTAGTATGAAGCCAAATTATGATAAATGATGGGATGTACACAAAATTGGATAAATATTGGCAAACTACAGGTACAAATGAGTCAATTCTCCTTAATCTAATTCAATTTTCATTTAAAAATTACTGAATAAGTAACAACCATGCTAAATATGAACAACTTACTTAGTCCCAAATACATATAACTGCCTTTAAAGTATCTCGTTTTAGCTACCACAAAAGGGTAACTGGTAAGTATTAATGGACCAAAAACTGTAAGCTGCTAGATTGGCATCTCTTTGTTTTGTTGTTTTAGGACACACTTGATTGAAAATACATAAATAAGAATTCAGTTCATATTGGTAAATGCTATAGGCTAATTATCTCATCAGATTTTATAAAATACTATCTTGATGAACATGATCAATTTCAAAATAGTAAAAACTCAAAAATTTTAAGAAAACTGGCTTAAAGATTAAAAATAATTAAGTAGCAGTTTCAATATTGACTTAAGCTGAAGCAAAGGTGACTTTGCTTGGATAAAGACAAAATTTCATCCGAGGGCTATAAAAGTAGCATAGCCTCATCCATGGCACTCCAAGCATAAGTTAAAAATAAATTAGATTCCATCGTAGGCCTATTTACCCTGAATATTTCTGTTACCAAATTTTATTCCGGATTATCCTACTGACATAGTTATAAATTCACTCATATTTGAAAAATACAGTTTTCTTTCCTAAGAGAATGAAAAAAAATAACTACTGGGAGAAAGATAAAACAGTTTAAATGTTTTGTACAAATCCAACTGAAGCAGAGATAACTCTAAGAAAAATGCTTTAGATTGAAAATATGTAATGATTTATAAGGGAAAAGATAGAGTGGGAAAAATTCTAGAGATAAGGAAAATATCGTCACTAACTTGGAGCTTGCAACTTTTATGAGGAATTAAAAAAGAAGTCTTAAAATGTTTGAGTTTAATCCAAAATGTCATTTTCTTACGTTGGAAACTGCTTAGTAAAGAAAGTCCACAAAATAGCCAGGCTGAACTCAATATTAAGTATCTAAATATATAGCTCTATTGTCTATTTAATGATACTTGGGAGTTCCCATGGCTACAACTCTCCTTTTTAACCTAAAACTTCATAATTCCACTTTAGAAAATGGACTTTTCCACTTTAAGAAATTTAATACTTTATTTTGTAATAAAACAATCACAAATTAGAGAGCAAGAAAATGAACTATTTTTTCAAAATAATGTAAGATATAACCTTGGACCTTAAGAATACCTATGAATAACTACACAATGAGCCTATGAATTTCTTTTGTGATAGCATGCCTTTATCACAGCATATTTTGACCTTCCAATAATGTACCTTTAAAAAGTTTACAACTTTATTCTATATTTAATAAATGCATCCAACTAGGTTAATCCATTGCTATCAATATTAATTTTTAGATAACGAATGGAGAAATGTACATCAAAATGCTCCATCCTATGGCACTAGTTCTCTTGTTGCCATCATCTTGGTTCTCTGACAGCACTTTATAGGAACTTCAATTTTATACACTATGCCATGATAAAGACACACCTAAACACATGCACACGCACATGTGCGCACACACACACCCCTTTCCCTTTCTCCCTTTACAACACAAATCTCTATGTATTCTCCTTCTTTCCCATCCATGCATCCATGCATCTCAGAATGAGAGTTCATCCTTACTCTGTCCAAAACATCTTTCCATTTTTTTGTGCTGTGTTGTATATACTGGATTTTACCACTAATAGAACCATGTTAAATTTTAGCCAATAATCCTAGAATATTAGAAAAGAAACAATGTGCAGATTTTGGAACAAATGCCCAACAATGAGTTGAAGAAGAAATTTGAGGTTCTCAGAAAAGAAAGTTAACAGCTCAGTAAAGACTATCAACTGAAAACATCTAAGGAAAGTTAGATATAATTATATGTATCTAAATATATATACATAAATTATGTATTTGTATATAGAATATAGTAATATTTTTATTATAAAGACAATCACAACATTGCATATATACATGCCTATGTAATGTATGTGTGATAAAAGCAAAAAATACTGCAATATACCAATACTGAAGAATACCCACTGTTTTTTAGCATCTGGTTCTTTTGAGCGCGACTGTATAACTAATGTATAATCTAGCTCAAAAACAAACTTTTTGTTTCTACATTGTATAAGTGCTTACTTATGAGGGTTCTAAAAGTGCTTACCTCTATTTCAGTAAATCATAATTTAAGATAATTCCAAACATCACATTTAATGTTATAGTGTTACCTTATAAATACACGTTTAATATAACTTTTGTAAACTCACTTGGCTTCTTGTAAAAATTTTATTTTCAGTTCCTGAGGAAGGTCTTCTTTACAGGTTTTAACAGCAACAGCAGTTTTATCCTTTAATATGCCCTTATATACTTCACCAAAATTTCCCTGAAAATACAAACACATTTATTGTTTAGGATATAAAGCAACATCAATCTTTGCAAAATATAAGGAAAGCACATAATAATGAATTTTGAGTTCAAAGTATTCTGTCAGCTTTATTCAGAGTCTTAAGTGGAACTAAAGATTGGAAATGTTGCTCTTTCCAATTCTCCAACTTTAAAAATAGTACCCAACCCACCTACCATTTGGGGGATTGAAGCTGAGGAGAACCGAAAAAGAAAAAAGGGGAAAAAATTCCATGAGACTTGGATAAAAGGAGAAACTCAAATTGAAGCCATCAGAAGTATTTAAGTTTCACGTCTCCTAGTGCTCTTTACCCCCAAGCTCTAAATTTTATTAGATTAAGAAGTTATCAATTAATGTTTCAAGATAAAGCAAAGACTTCATGAAGTGACTGTTGGTATGGATCCCCAAACCTGAATATCAGTTGAAGAGTGTCAGGGAATAAGGGAGAGGCAACAGAACCAGGCAGACCAAGGACTATCACCAGCCAACTGTAGACTGTCAGTCTCAGAAAGGCACCGAGTTAAGAGAAGGTGCTTACCCAAATGCCAGTATCACCCATGTTGAGTTTCTATCAAATGTATAAATCCCTAACTTCATGCTGTGGCTCTAACCTATTTTGACTTAACATGCCTTATTTCAACTTTGGAGTTGTTGTTTTTTATTATTAATATAAAACCAAATATTACGAAGAAGATCTATAAAGTTAATACAACTATTTTTTAGTATTCAAGTTTTTATTTATGTATATATATTGTTTACATAACTATAATCCTAACATGCAAGCCTTACAATAAGCTTCAATGCTATTGTTGAGCAAGAACTAACTGAACTAGGACTCTGCTAGTTATTGGGTTTGAGTTCTAAGTGCAATGTAACTTTTTTTTAAGATTTACTTTCTTTAGATAGAGAGCAAGCGAGCACAGGCATACAAGCATGGGGAGGGGCAGAGGGAAAGAATCTCAAGCAGATTTCCTGCTGACTGTGCAGCCCCAAGGTCATGACCTGAGCAGAAATCAAGAGTCAGATGCTGAACCAACTGAGCCACCCAGTTGCCCCAAGAGATTTAACTCTTAATAAATAGTTCAAGGTGTATAAATTTTATGTTAATAAATTTAAAATTACTAAAATATTTATTTCAATATATATTTTTGTATCTGTACATTTACATCTAATTTCTGTCAGCAGAAATTTTTTTTTTTAATTTTTAAAATTCTAGTGCAGTTAACAGTGTTATGTTAGTTTTAAGTGTACAATGTAGTGATTCAGCAATTCCATACATTACTTAGTGCTCATCGTGGTAAGTGTACTCTTAATCCCCTTTGCCTAGATCACCTATCCCCTACTCACCTCCCTTCTGGTAACCATCTATTTGTTTTTTATGATTAAGAATCTGTTTGTTTCAGTTTGCCTTTTCTTTTTCCTTTGTTCATTTGGTTTCTTAAATTCCACACATGAGTGAAATCATATGGTATTTATCTTTCTCTGACTTGCTTAGCATTATACCCTCAGGATCCATCCATGTTGTTGCAAATGGCAAGATTTCATTCTTTTTTATGGCTGAATAATATTCCATTGTATATATTTACCACATCTTCTTTATCCATTCATCAGTCAATGGACACTGAGGTTGCTTCCATATCTTGGCTATTGTAAACAATGCTGCTATAAACACTGGGGTGCATGTATCCCTTTGAATCAGTATTTTTGTATTCTTTGGGTAAATTCTTTGGCTGGATTGTAGAGTAGTTCTATTTTGGAATTCATTCATTCTGAAATTCATGGTCCATCATCATCAACATTTTATCTTCAATGTATTCTCTGGTGATTCTCTTCACCTTTTTGTTCTAACAAACTTGGCTCTCATCTGAGCTTTCAAATGGTGGCTGAGCTTCCTTTTGCCTTCTGAACTTAAGTGATTATTCCCCTGTCACCTTCCCTTCTCCCACTGCCCTGGGAGTTGATATAGAATATTCAACTAGCTCCTTGTCACTGCTTTCAAACCATTTTCCCTCCTGCATTCCCCAAAACCAAACTCTGAAACTTTATCATTTGATTATATATCTACTTCCCTTACTGTAGCTACCAGCTACTGAATTTGAAAATATTTTCCTTTGGTTATTAACAATTTGAACTCCTAGAACACAGTACTCAGTATTACTCCTGCCTGTCTTAATTACTGTCAATTTCAGTAGACACTTAAGTACCTTCCATCACTTCAAACCCTCAGTTTCTTGAACATCATTCTTCCAGTAGTCTTGTACTCCAACCTATTTTCTAGGATCATGCCTTAAACTTTGCCACTGCCGGGGCACCTGGGTGGCTCAGTTAAGCGTCTGACTCTTGATTTCAGCTCAGGTCATGATCTTGATCTTTTGAGATCAAGCCCCACGTTGGTCTCCATGCTGGACATGGAGCCTGCTTAAGATTCTCTCTCTCCCTCTGCCCCTTCCCCCCTCCAAATAAAAACAAAACAACTTTGCCACTGCCAATAATGTAACTCCCCTGTAATACCTCTTTTATTCATCCCATCTTCTGGCTGGTTTCTACATTTGTAGCTTACTTCCTCTTGTATCCAGACTCCAAAAATCCTTTGACTGTATGGGAATTTCCAAATCTTTAGATCATCCACTTTTATTATCGAACACCCCCTTAATGTCCTTTCTTCCTTGCTTATCCAGTTTAAATTCTATAGTCAGCAATTACAACTGCTTACCATACATTCTGAACTTCACTGTTCGTCTTCATCTATAAAACTCCCTTATCAAATCTACAATCCTGACTAAACTCAACACTCAGACTACTCTGCACCTATGCAGCTAAATGTGGCTGGAGAAAATCCACAACCTCACTGACTGGGTTCACTTTAAATTCATGGGCGCAACCCTCTAGAAGGCCCTTAATGTTGCTCCATCAATTCTCACCTCTCCCTCTAAAATAGTCTGTTTTTCACTAGATTATTCCCAACGGCCAACTACCATGCTGTTGTGTCTCTCAGGGTAAGCAGCAACACAATTCATTCTCTTGAAACTACCACCACGTATCTCTGCTTCCTTTTGCAACAAAGCTTCAAAGAGTTTCATCCTTGCTATCTCTAGTTCCTCTCCTCCCATTCTCTCTTCATCTATTCCAATCTAGCTTTCCACTAAAGCACTCCCAGGAAGCTGCTCAGCCAAATCAGCAGTGGCCATCTCGTTACTGAATTCAATGGTTAATTCCCAGTCATCATCTCATTTGACCTATCAGCAAAATCTAACACCATTGATCACTCTGTTTTCCTTGATATACTCTCTTCTCTTGGCTTCCAAGACATCCTATCTTCTGGTTTTTTACCTATGTGATTGATTTCTCTTTCTCAGCCTCTTCTGATGTTTGCTTCTCTTGTCTGAAGGCTATTATTATAGTAACCGGAGTTCAGTCTCCATTTTCTGAGAGAGACCCACTCCATTACTGAACTCATCTGGTCTTATGGCTTTAAATGCCATCTATAGGGGCGCCTGAGTGGCTCAGATGGTTAAGCCTCAGATGGTCTGCCTTCAGCTCAGGTCATGATCTCAGGGTCCTGGGATTGAGACCTGTATCGGGCTCTAGGCTCAGTGAGGAGTCTGCTTCTCCCTCTCTCTTCCTGTCTCTCTCCCCTGCTCATTCTTTCTCTCTCTCTCCCTCTCTCTCTCTATCTCAAATGAATAAATAAATTTTAAAAAGCCATCTATATGTGGTATATATATCCAAGGTAATGTTATTCAACCATGAGAAAGCAGGACATCCTGCCATTTGCAGTAACACGGATAAAACTTGAGCACATTATGGTAAGTCAGACAAATGTATGTACTACCACATTTATGAAATCTAAAAAAGCCATATGCATAAAAACAGAGAGTAAAATGGAGGTTACAGAGGATGGGTAAAGGGAGCAGATAGGACTGATATTGTCTAAGGGTACAAACTAAACTTTTGAGAAGTAAGCACTAGAAATCTAATGCACAAGATAGTGAATATAAACAATATTATATTATAATCAAACTTGCTAAGTGGCTACAACTTTTCAACCACAAAAAAGAAAGGATAATTACATAATGTGCTAGAGACCCTAACTACCACTACAACGGCAATCACGTTACTACATATAAACGTATCAATTTAATATATTGTGCACCTTAAATGTACATGTTATATGTCAAATATATTCCAATGAAAAATCTTAAATAACATCTATATATAACTACCAAATATACACGGTATAACTGCAAATTTGTACTTTTGATCCAGACCTCTTTTTTAAACTCCAGACTTGAGAGCCAGCTATCTTCCCAACCTCTCCATTTGGCAGTCAAACAGACAAAACTTAATACATCCAAAACCTAATTCCTAAATTTATTCCCCCAAAACTTGCTGCACCTACACTGACTTCCCCTTCTCTCATGCTCCACATAGACTCCATCAGGATATTCAGTTGGTTCAACAGTAAAAATGTAACCAGAACCCACAAGTTTCCACCACCTCCCCTGCTACCAACCTGATCTAGCAACCATCATCTATTAGTTAGGTAAGGGCAATTGCCTCCTAACCTTCCAACCTGTCAGCCTACCTATACTCAATACAACAGCCACAGTGATCTTTTTAGTAAGTAAGATCATGCCACCCCTCCACTCAAAGTCATCCACCAGCTCATCTTTTCATACATAATCAAAGCCAAAGCAATTATAACGGCCTGCAAGGTTCTACATGATTTACACCCTCACTGCCTCACCCACTTCTTGTCCTATCACATTCCTCCCTGCTTACTGAACTCAGTTACAGCCAAATTGTCTGTCTTGCTCTTCAAAGAAAATTTGCATTGGTTACTCCCTTCTCCTAGAACCCTCTTTCTCAGATGTCCTCATGACTAAAATCCCTCCAAGTTTTTATACAAAAGTAAAAAATTTTAATAAAGCATACCCAGATCTCCCTATTAAAAATTCCAACCCTGGCCAACAGCACCTCCCAACTTCCCTATATTTTTCACAGGACTTAGTCCTCTAATGTTATAAAATTTAGCTATTTATTGTTTATTATTTATCGATCTTCCCCTGATAGATAGAATATAAACTCCATAAGGGCAAAGATACTTGTCTCCTTTGTTGGCTGATGTATCCCGAGTGTCTAGAAGAGAGCCTGGCACTAAGGAGACATTCCATAAATATTTCAGGAGTGAATAAAATATTTCTTGAATACCAAATATATTATCAAGTACAGTCTAATTATATATTGCTGAATAAAAAAGTTAAGAGTTCCTATCTCAATCTCCTATTACTACTCAATTCCAAAGTCTGTCAGTATAGAAACCATGACTAATTCTTTTTACCTCATGCACTCTCAAGGAGTATACTGTAAATATTTATTAAGACTAGGTAATGAAAAGATTGAATCATAAATCAGTTTATACTCAAAATATTAGCTGAAATTAAGCTATACAGTTTCTCTAAAGTTGCAGTCTTATTAAAAATGATTAAATTTATTTAAAATGACCTCATGCTACTGCCTGTCATTGAGAAAATATTATTCTTTGAAACAGCTCTAGTAAGGATCTAAAGATTAAAATCCCTCCTAATGTACCATATCTCACATATTAAACTAAACATAAAAATAACTGAAATATTTCTCTTTAACTGAAAATTTTTTTCTTGGTACTAAAAAAGCAGTCTTCCCCAACACATTCTATTTCAGTAAGCGGTATATTTTATAATTTTTTTAGTTGTATTTTCATGGAAATTTAATTTCTTTGTAATAATTTCTGGCCCAATTACTGCTACTGAGTTACTGACCTAAAGTAATGGAAAGAATTCCATTCCATTCCATTCAATTCAATTCAAACTTTCAAACAGAAACATCAATTAAGTGACGTTAATATTTACCCACTGGGACTCAATCACAGATCAGCAATCAATAAATTTGCAAATAGTCCATTTGATTAATGATCAAATGTCTAACATTATTATTAAACATAATATACATTCATATGGCCTATGAGTTGGAATAAACTTCAAACTAGATTAGAAAAAAAGACTTTTGTCATATATAAGCTGCCTTCTCTGACCACTACCAGATCTACCTATAAAATGAATCTTTATATTGAAACCCATCTTAACCACATAGTTGTTAGACTGAAATAATGCATCCAGTGTTGTTACATATTGTGATTCTATACACAATCCTGAAATCTCAGAGAGTAGTATGCCACTTTTTCTGAGTTATCCTGTATAACCAGAAACAAATGGAATACAACTATTAGGTGTTTAAACTTCTATTACCCCACAGGCTCTTTCCCATCTCCGATCACTAGTTTTGGTTTTACCACACCATGAGGAATAAACTTATTGCGGTTTAAGTCCTTCCAGAGGAAAACAGACATATACTATTTTAAAAACCAAGAATCATCCTTAAACTTTTCACAGATTTTTACTTATCTTTTTCACTGAACACTGCCGTATTTGCAGCAGATGTGGTACTGTGTTCACCTGGGTTCATGTGGGAATGTGCCCTGCTGTGTGCTGGAACGTAAGAAAGACTCTGGAGAGGGGCGCCTGGGTGGCTCAGTCGTTAAGCGTCTGCCTTCGGCCCAGGTCATGGTCCCAGGGTCCTGGGATCGAGCCCCGCATCGGGCTCCCTGCTCGGCGGGAAGCCTGCTTCTCCCTCTCCCACTCCCCCTGCTGGTGTTCCCCCTCTCACTGTGTCTCTCTCTGTCAAATAAATAAAATCTTTAAAAAAAAAAAAAAAAGAAAGACTCTGGAGAAAACGAAGAAATCTGTAGAGTGAACAGTCACTGTAAAGACTTTTGGTTATTTAATTCAGCTGACTACATACCTTGCCCAGTAATTCTCCCAATGTGACATCTTCGTGATTGAGAACCCATTTCTTATCCTAGGGCAAAGAAAAAGAACAGCCTTTTTAGCCCAAGCAAGAGTGCATTTCCTGTAAGATCCATTTGAGGCAGTAGCCAAGAGAACTAATGGGTATTTCATTCAGACCATTAAATCAACAGCACTCTCACAAGTTGTAACTTCAAGAGGTTATGAAACAGATTTAAGAAATGTTACTAACCAATAGGATTTTAAAATCTACATTACAGCTAACTTCTATCAGAAATCTCAGCCTTCAGAATGATAGTATCCTTGTAACCAGAACACAGCATGCCCTTTCCTCCCACCATAAAGTTTGGCTATGCTTTAATTTGTCATTTCACAACAGTTGTGTCCTAAGTACATGAGGGAATATCATTGTACAATGCAAAATGTCCAATCCCCACTTGAGCATCTAAGATAACATTACTAAGAGCTAATTTTTCTACTTGTAAACTGGCCATGAGTTATAGCTGTCTATGACACTCACTACATGTAGTTCCTCATCTTTTACAAGTACTTTCTTGTAGTATAATAAAGCAGCAAGTATCAATTACAATATCACTAGGGTACACAAGATTAGTAATGCAAACATGCCATTATAAAAGAGCATCCTATTATCTGATCTCAAGAACTAACTACTACATAGGGAATATTTTATCATCTAAAAATCCCAGCTAGGAAACTACACAATACTGTAAGGTTAAAAAGGCACATAATTTTTTTTAAAAGAAAAAGGAACAAGTAATGAAGCAAGAAAGAAGGAGAGAGAGGAAGAAATGAAGAAAAAGAGGGAAGGAAAAACAGGGGCATGGGAGAAGAGAGAGAAGAAAAAGGAAGTCCTGGGGTGATATATTTTCTTCATAACTTGTTTTTTTTATTAAATGTTAAAGTGTAGTATTCCCGGGCGCCTGGGTGGCTCAGTTGGTTAAGCGACTGCCTTCGGCTCAGGTCATGGTCCTGGAGTCCTGGGATCGAGTCCCACATCGGGCTCCCGGCTCGGCGGGGAGCCTGCTTCTCCCTCTGACCCTCTCCCCTCTCATGCTGTTTCTCTCTCTCTCTCTCTCAAATAAATAAATAAATAAAATCTTTAAAAAAAAAAAAAAAGTGTAGTATTCCCCCATTATACAGACTGAAAACTAATATGATCCACAGAATGAGTCATAACAAGTAATCACATATCTTAAAGTAAAAATCCACCCTATCTTTAGTTTAAAAATATTCTGGACAGCCATTTGAAGCACTTTACCTTCTGGAATGCCATAAAACAAACATGGCCACCACCCTCTGCTAGGTCAACAAAGAGAACAACATTGACTTTTTTCAGTAACAGTTTACATGTATAGTCTTTCAAACTAAATATAAAGCTAGAGCCATAAAGGACCTGAAAGAAAACAGGAGAATAGCTTCATGATCAAGAGAGTAAGCAAAGATTTTTTAGGATACAAAAAGCACTAACTATAAAAGAAACAATTGGAATTCATCAAAATTATAAACATTTGTTCTTCCAAGGGCCATCATTTGAAAAATGAAACAGCAAACTACATCTGGGAAAACATTTCTGCATTACATCTATCTAACAAATAATTGAGTGTAGGGAATTCATGCCTCAGTAAAAAGTTGAGAAACAACCGAATTTTAAGAAATTGGGTAAAAATCTACAATAGCCAAATTATGTGAACATGGCTGATAAATGGATAAAGAAGATAGATAAATAATAGATAGATAAGTAAGTGATATATGAATAAATGTTCATGTGATATATCTCAGACACACACACACTGGAATATTATTCAGCCAAAAAAGAATGAACTCTTGCCATTTGCAACAACATGGATAGAGCTAGAGAGTACCATGCTAAGCAAAATAAGTCAGAGAAAGACAAATACCATATGCTTGCACTCATATGTGGGATTTAAGAAACAAAATAAACAAGCAAAGGGAAAAGTAAGAGGCAAACCAAGAACAGACTCTTAACTATAGAGAACAAACTGATGGTTACCAGAGGGAAGATGGGTAGAGGGATGGGTGAAATAGGTGATGGGGATTAAGGTGGGCACTTGTTGTGATGAGCACTGTGTTATATGTAAATGTTGAATCACTAAATTGTACACCTGCAACTAATTTTACACGGTATGTTAACTGGAATTAAAATAAAAACTTCAAAAAATAAGTCGGATAAAAAATGTGAAAGAAGATGGACAAATAATAAGTACATCAAAAGATGTTTGAGTACTATTAGTCAGTGACATACAACTGTAAACCACAGTAAGATGCCAATTCGCACCCACTAGAATATGAAAATTAAAAAGATTAACAGTATCAGGAGATCGTGAGCATATGGAGCAATTGGAATACTCATACACTGTTGGTAAGGCTGTAAAATGGTACAGCCATTTTGGAAGACAATTTGGCAGTGTCTTATGAAGTTGAACATCTACATCAAGATGAGAATCAATAAACAAATTTTGGTGCAGTCAGGCATTTAGTTATTATTCAGCAATAAATAGGAATTTATTACAAATAAATAAAACAGAGCACTTGCACAACATTTTGCCAAGCTACTACGGCCAAATATACTTTACATACATGCAGACATAACGAGTTCCTTTATATGAATTGTTAGAAGTGGACAATGTATCTATAATGCTATAAATCAGAGCAGTGATTGCCTGAGGCAAGGGTTGGGGAAGATGAACTGCCAAGAAGGAATTTTGGGGGGTTTAGGGAAATATTCAGTTTATTGATATTTCATTGAACTATACACTTAAAACCTGTGCATTTTGCTGCATGTAAATGATTTCCATAAGGCTGATTTTTTAAAATGAGAAATGTAAAAAAGCAAATATGCTACTTTTCATTTGAGTAGCACTTCTGGGTTTAATTTCCACTCCATCATACACTATCAAAAGTATATTATCAAAAGAATGCAGTCTGGCAGGCAGGAGAGTTATTATTTTAAAGTTGCAAAACTGATTTGTTGAGAACTTTTTCATTTCAAACAGTGGTAAAACAGGAGGATCACACCAATTCTCCCCCTGAAAACCACTGAAAAAACTGGATAAAATTTAAGAACAAAAGCAAAAAAGCTCCAAACTTTTATTCAAGAGGCCTGAAAAGCAAGTGAAATAGTAAGGGCTGAGAGGCTAAATTCAGGTTAAGACCAAAAGTCGAGTTAGGTTAAGAAAAGTTAAATTTAGGTTAAGAAAGGACCCAAAAGTCAAGACCTTTTGGGCTACCTTTAGCATATGTTGATTTTGAAAGCAGCACCAAAAACAAACAAACAAACAAACAAAAACAAAACGCGCGCGCACACACACACACACACACTAAAGGACGTTCTCTACTAGAAGGAACAAAGGAAGAAAAACAAAAACGGTGAAAATTTGAGTAAATATAATAGACTCTTCTTCTCTTGCATTCTTTAAAATATGCTCGACAAATAGAAAAGAGAGGTATAAAACTTTTTGATGAGTTTTTCAATTGACTTAGATGCAATACATATGAAAAGTACAAGGAGGGAAAGGTGTACAGATCCATACTGTAATAAAGTTTCTGCATCCCACTTGAAGTGTTAGGGTATTGATTTTTTGTAAACGGTGAAAAGTTAAATGTTTTTGATAGTTCCTAGAGCAACCACTTAAAAAAAAAAAAAAAGGCACAAAGCTACATAACCAAAAATACAAGAGAAAAAAATGTAATGGCATAGTAAAAAGCGTTCAAATAACTCAAAAGAAGGTAAGAAAGGGGAAAAAGGAAAACAAAAATCAGAACAAAATATAAAATGGTAGTCCTAAATCCAAACATACCAATACCATACATCAGACAATTAAAAGACAAATTTTTAAAAAGAATATTAAAAAGGAGTCAACTATGTGCTTTCTTAAGAAATTCACTATAACTTTAATGATACAAGTATCTCAAAAGGATAGAAATAGATATAAAATGAAAACATAAATCGTAAGAAAGCTGGAACACCTAGTAATGTCAGACAAAGTAAATACACAGCTAAAAAAATTACCATGGATAGAGGAAAATCACATAATGATAAAATGTCAATTCACCAAGAAAATGCCATTATCCTAAAAGTCTATGATTCAAACACCAATACTTCAGAATGAAGGAAACATGGACAGAATTACAAGAACAATTTCACAATTATAGTTGGAGATTTCAAAACTCCTCTCCCAGTAATAGACAGTAGAGAGAAAATCAGCAAGGATATAAAATAACTGAATAATACCATCAACCAAGTAGATAAAATTGATATTTATAATAAAACTCCACTCAACAGCAGAATAAAACCCTCTTTGCAAATGCATAAGGAAAATACACCAAACTAAATCATATCATAAACCTGGATCATGGAACAAATCTTAACAAATGTAAAAGAAACGAGGTCATACAAGTTATGTTCTCTGACAACAAAATTTAACAGAAATCAATAACAAGGTTAACAGAACGTTTCCAAATACTTGGAAATTTAACAGCATACTTTTAAATGATCATGGGTGAAAGAAAAAGTCTTAAGCAATTCTAATTTACAGCTAGGTAAGCTAAACTAATTAGATGACTAAGGTAAGCTTAACAAATTTAGTTTACAGAATGTTTAGTTTACATTTGGGTTTTCTATCTTATGTTGGTTAATATTTGGTGTGAGTATTGTTTGTACTGACCTCATCCTGAACCTCTTATGTACTATTCTGGAATATATACCTGTGCATCCACTATTTCTAGTTTAAGATTTATGACATAATATGCATCTGGAATTCACCCTCATTTTTAAGAAAGGAGATGTTTTATCTCTCGGAAGAACCAAATACCTCAATGTGCTCTAGCAGTAATATCCATAGTATCCATATTTCTTAAGCTTAATACTACTAACATTAAATAGCTTTCAATCCCCCCCCCCAAAAAAATACATCAGAATGCACCCATTATCTATTTCTAAATAGATGATTTAAGACTTAACATACATGAAGTAAAAATTACAATGACAAGTATTGTTAGAAAAGTATTTCA